CACCGGACGCCGACATCTTTAGCATCCACCAACTCCTCACGGACTCCATCTCCAAGGCGGCGGGCACCATCTTCGCTCTCGCGCTGCTTCTCTCTGGCGTCTCGGCGGGTATCGTGTGTACCATTGCTGGGCAGATGGTTAGCGAGGGCGCACTGAACTGGAAAGTCCGTCCTTGGCTGCGACGCCTGGCGACGCGGAGTATCAGCGTTACGCCGAGCATTGTTATTGCCGGCGCTGTTGGGCGAAAGGGCGTCAGCGAAGCATTGAATGCTTCACAGGTCGTGCTTAGTGTCGTTTTGCCGTTTGTTACTGCGCCATTGATTTACTTCACTTGCAGAGACAAGTTCATGACGGTCCGGGATGGACCGGGCGGCAGCGCCCGATTCAGGGTCGGTAGTGCAGGGACTGACGAGGAAGAGTCCACAGCAATCCCTACGGACGGTACCGTCAAGATGGCAAATTCGTGGTACACTGCTGGCTTTGCGGTCTTGGTTTGGGTTATCATGGCCGCGATGAACGTGGCTAACTTGGTTCTGCTTGGCAAGGGTGAGTAAGTGAAGGGATTAGAACTAGCAGTATGCCCGGTGAGGGGTAATTCTGCTGTAAACGCGATGATGGCGTGTAGATGGAGACTCAAAAGTCGTTCGTCTCTGCTTTAGTTTTGACTTGGTCTGCTCTGTCTGTGTTTGACTTTTGACTTGTCTTTGGTTTTGTACTCTGTTAGCTTTGATCCGACTGCACTTTTCAACAAGTGTATTTAGTCAAGCAGTATTTTAGGCGAGGTCCAACCCTCTATCATAAAGTATCGTGTCTCTAAGAAAGGGATATTTCATACACACACAGAAAATGTTGCCTTTTGAGCAGAGAAATTGGGGATGCAGACATACTTGTGTGTAACATCGCGGAATAAGTAATCAACTTCCACAATGACGATAAATGGGAGAGCCTGTTTGGAACTGTTACAAAGCAGTTAAAGTAGAAAGGTTCCGAAGTTAGATGTGTTTACTCTGTAGTCGGAAGAGCCCCGCATAGGTAATCGGGTCGGCTCGAGTCAGGCGCTACCTTAGTCCAAGGTGCTCCGCATGTAGAGGAATATAGATTCCGCTGTCTTTATATGACGTCGAGGTTTATTGATTGCGCAAACTGCCTCCATTCTTATATAAAAACGACTGTCGAATCGCAAGGACGTAACTCAAGGCCGCTGCCATTACGTGTACTGATTCTCTGTCAGCCAAAGCCTAGTCACCGCGTCTCAATCCTTTAACGGCCCAAAAGAACATTGCCGACATGTCTCATCTCAAGTATTATTCCTATGAAGGCGTAGGCCAGAGAAATCTCGCGGGTTTCAGCTACAACCAGGCAGTGAAGATTGGCGACCGCATTGAGTGCTCTGGTCAAGGTATGTCGCGCTTCCAATAGTCGTCTCAAATCCAAACACAACTTGACACAATAACTCAGGCGGATGGGATCCCAAAACGGGCGAGTTTTACAAGGAAATTAACGCCCAAATCGATCAAGCATTCGCCAACGTGGATCTCAATCTCAAGGATGCCGGTGGAGCAGGCTGGGAACAGGTGTTCCGAGTCAACTCATACCATGTGCCGATTAATGACGAAGCTTTGGCAGCCATGGTACGGAATTTTAGAAAGTGGATGCCGCACCATAAGCCGATTTGGACGTGCGTGGGAGTACCGAGGCTTGGGGAGGACGATATGCGGGTCGAGATCGAGGTCGTCGCTCACGTTCCCGAAGAAGCGTCGAAGGCTTAAGCGTTGAGATTGGGTGAATTCAGAACCAGTTCTCGCCAACCTACATCATGAGGAACGATCAAATCACGAAGGTTCGGTACACAAGATTCTAAGCAGCTCCACATGCGAGAGCAAATGTTATAGTATCCCAAAATGTCATATTCCCATTATTGTATCAGAGGTAATCTCATCACAAGATCCCAGTATCCGTTGAACGCCAATCACACCGAGCGGGTTCCAAAGGTGATGAACTCAGCCAGTGGGGTATAGTCGCTTTGATACATCATTTATGCCTTGCCAGCCTGGACCAGAAGAGCAGCGTGCTGCTCGGGGTGGGTCTTCTCGACGTTGCCCTTGGCCATCTTCTTCATGAGCATGTTGGCCTCGATGTCGACCTCCTCGCGGAGGATGAGACCGGCAGCCTCGTTGACGATGCGCCACCGGCCGTTGATGACGAGAGTTCCGACGGGGGGCTTAGCGTTGACGAGGGTGTCGACGCCGTCCTCGAGGTTGGTGATGGTGAGCTGGTAAGTGGTTTGGCCGATGGGCTTCTTGTCAGTGACGGAGTAGGTGGCGGACTGGCCGACGCCGACGGAGCCGGACTCGAGGTTGTAGGAGATGAGAGCCGGGCAGAGGGTCTTGACCATCAGGTCGTGGTTGTGGATGGCGGAGAGGACGGCGTTGCGGTCGACGCCGGCGGGCACGGGGGTAGAGACGACGGTGGAAGGCATTTTGGTGGGGGTTTGAAAGATCGAGGTATCGTGAAGAAGTGAGTATGATTAGTCCTGGCTGAAGTATGTAATGAATGGCGAGGCTGGCAATGCACGATGACCAAAGGCAAGCAGGAACCTTCTTATAGATGTCTCTCTTTCCCCCTCGCTCAGGCGGGCAACGAACTCAATCATTTCGGACGGTTGGAGGTTTCCATACCATGCAACACCGTCTGCCCCCCTTCTCCCCCCTATACTTTCTTCATCCTTAACTCTGAATCCAACCATCGGAGCCCCATGGAAAGAGTGAACTGACCGTTGCGCCGCTGACGGTTCAGGACGGTATGGTTCGCGGGGGGCAAGTAGCAGGAGACGCAAGTAGGGAGGCTAAGTGGCACCGGGCCGGCCGTGCCCCGACCGTGCTCCCGCCGAGCCGGACGTTGAAGCATGACGCTAGGAGACCTCGACGCTGCACGCTAATGGGCTCGGGTTTTGTTTGTTCTTTCAGGGGCCCAGGGGAAGAGAAGGCGGGCATCCGTGGAGAAGTCCGTGGGGGGCTCTAGTTAACGCAGGTAAGATTAACAGACTCTCGATATTGGTACGAAAACAGAAGGATTTGGGTTGGTAGGATAGACATGTGGCGTTGAGAGAAGAAACAGTGAACAATTATCTCGATGGACATGTTTTCTTGGAAATGTTTCAGTCCAAAAACCATGTCTCTCGAACCTTGACCCAGCTGCGGTGGCTCTCGCTGTTTGCGTTTGGTCCCGAAGCTTTGGTCGCGAAGCTCCTACCATCTTCCCGAATGCTGCGTGAGACATGCCCATCACCCAGGTGTTCGTCCGAGACATGCATCTTGTTGCATAAGAGTTGTAGTTACGCGTGTCTCTGGAGAGCAGTCTCCGCATTCCCATCACACGGCCTGCGCACTCGAGCTGTAGCCCTACTTGGCACCTGCGCAAGCTTGGAGGTTACTGGAGCTCATCAAAACCCCTAGTTTCGTCCCAACCACAACTTAGCGAGACCTGCACTTGCAAGATCGTCCACGACAGATTACATTGAAGTCAATATGAGGCTTAAAATATCCTCAGGATTGTCTCATCGTCGAAGAAGACATGATCTAGTGAAAGCAAATCCCCTTTGCGGCGTAAGCCGTTGACAGCCATCAGGGAGGGATCGTCGCGGGTCGGGATTACACTTATCAAGTCTCTGCAAGTAAGCGTTTCCCCCCGAAGACTTCGAGAATACACCAATCAATTACCTCCTAACCCAGTCTTCAAACCAACCGTCTGAGTGCCTACGTAAGGCCAGGCGTTGTTATGATCGACAATATGGCTAGTTCGCTGCGCCGAGGGTGTGCTTGAGGTGTCGTCGGTGCGTTCCACGCGCGCTAAAACAGACCCGCTGTCTGTCCGTGTCTCTCGGTCATGGCGCTGACGGTTGCACCTCGTTGTTGCTGTAAAAGCGAATGTCGATTTCGGGGCGTTGCGATCGAGTATAGGTGTCCCTGGCTGAGCCGCGTCGTCAATATGCGCTCAGCATGCGCTTAAAGGTAGGGGTCCAGGTTATGCTCTTGTGCGCTCTGGAGAATCAGGGACGCGATAGAGCCTTCATGTTCGTCAGAGGTCCGGTAATCCTTCACTTCAGCTCGCCTTCCGTTCATGCGCACCGAGAATTTGAGACTGGCGACAAATCAGACCGTCAGAAAATTCCAGGAGCATTGAAATCCTTCCCTCACAAAGACGGGAGTAATCAAGTCGGTGGCCCGGCATAAGATGAACCGACACGGTGTTGATCCGCACGGGGATCTTATCTGACTTCTATTTTGGGTCTTACGCGATCTGATCTCCGGGCCAAGGCCGGAGGTGGCCTTATTCTCGGACTGGGGACTTCATGTCTCTTGTCTAGGCAATCATTTTCTCGCTATCGCATCTTCCAAGCCAGCATGGAGAATCAGAGCTTCCCGTGTATTTATCTCAACATACAGATCTTACAGGATTTTACTTGCATCTTACCAGGAGAACTCCATGAAGATTCCCTACTCGTCGCGGCCCCACCCGGCGTGATCAAAGCGTCCGGATACACTTCCAGACAGGAGCTGGAAGCCATCACAGCGTAGCCGATCTTGCAAAACCTCAATGGTAGCATCGGAGCCTCTGGAAACGGGAGGGTTTCTCTATAGCAACACCATGATTTGGCTTGTAAGAAATGGATATCAATTCCTTGTTAACGAAATTCTAGCTCAAAAGTCATGAAAAGATATTGGTGCCATGACGCATAGGGCGGAATATGAATTCCTCCCCCGCTCCTTAGTCATCCATTGATTCAAGTCCATGTGATTGGCCCCATCCTTGACCATCTCAGTGCCGTGGTTATCGGGCAAGAGAAATTGCGAACTATTACCAAGTGTCAACCGTTGTGCGTCCGACTTTCCTCATTGAACCAAAATCGAAGGTGTCCCCGGACTGAATCAGAAAGTATTATATCATCCGTGGTGGAGGACCCTTGCCCATCTTATTTGTGTCTCCTCTCCTTCGCTGCTATGCCCCAAGCGTCGTCGGAGCGGGCCGCAAGCCAACCGAAGCGCAGGTACACGTCAAAGGCGTGCGAGGAGTGTCGGCGCCGAAGGGCAAAGGTGGGTGGAATATATTTTCCTTCCATTCTATCAGCCCACACCTTTTTGACGGCTGAGTTCAGGCTACACACGCATTGCGATACTCGTATAGACAATGGGCTGATGGTCTGGCTAAATGTCTATGATGCTGACTGAAAGGTGCCAACTTTTAGTGTGATGGACTGCGGCCCATTTGTGGCCGATGTTCCGAACGTGCCATCAATTGTCTCTATAGGAGTGAAGAGGACGGCCGTAAGCCTGCTTCAAAGACATACGTACAACTTTTGAGAAACCGGATCGATCTCCTGGAAGCCGTGTTGCAGTCCCACACCATCGATGTCGAGGCTGCCGTCGCCCAGCTCTCGGCCACCGGATCAGCACCACAACTACCGTCCATCGCCAGCACTTTAGCAACCGGTAGCGATGCTGGACTCAGCGTTTCGGCTTTTGACGACCTATGTGCCACCTTTGAAGGAGCTCTCTCCCTGGATGAATCGGTGAACTATGATCAGGATGGAGAGATGCGATACTTCGGCCCGGCGAGCGGCCGCTTAGAGTTCCAGAGTGGTGCGTATCGCTTATTATTATCCCCGGCTGGGTTGGTTATTGACAAGTCTCTAGAATCTACGCCCGAGTCCGACGATCATGGCAGCCCATTGACATCCAAGTCCACGGAGACTAACCGTTACATCCTTCCTCTGGAGGCAGACGTCTACCCGGATGATCTTACTACAGAACTGATAGACTTGTTCTTTGAGTATCAAAACCCCTGGTGCCAAGTGGTTGATGAGAAGCTATTCAGAGAGAGTATGAGAACGCGGGGTCGCTTCTTTAGTCCTTGTTTACTCAACTGTATACTTGCTCTGGGATCACGCTACTCCGATAGGACCGACACCCGTTCCATCCCAGACGACCAAAACTCGGCCGGCAAAGTCTTTCTCCAGAAAGCTGAAGTCCTTTTACATTATGACATGAAACGACCGAACATCACGACAATTCAGTCAATGTCCATTTTAGTCGGGGTCTATGTGGTATGTTTATGGATGGAACTAATTGCCAAGTTTCCTATGCTCACTACAAATAGTCCTACGGATGCGATGCTGCCGGATGGCTACACCAAGGAATGGCAAATCGACTAGCTCTTGACATGGGACTCAACCTTGACGCGTCGTCGTTGTCTGGCACGTGCCACATGTCCAACGAAGAAGTAGAGTTGAGACGACAGATTTATTGGGCCCTATACTGTGACGACAAACTTGCCGCCATATACACGGGGCGAGTCTGTAGTCTTTTGGTAAGATCTGTTCCGCCATGTCACATATTCAAACGTCTATGAGAGTACTGTCTGTATTGACATTGTGATGCAGGATGTCCAAGGCGCTGTCCATTTACCGTCAACATACACACCGGAACAAATGAGTGCTGGAGCAGCAAACGACTCATGCGACGTAAACAGATGCAATAAAAAGGTCCTCGTACACCGCGGTCTAATAGGCCTCTGTCGAATCCTTGAGAACATCCTCCTGGCTCTGTACGTCAGCTTCCCTTTCACCCACACAATCTCCCCCCTTTTTGGTGAACACGCAACTAACAAACCCCTCAGATACGCCCCAAAACCACTCTATAAAGGCCCGCAAAGGATATCCTTCCTCCAATCCTGCACCCTCGAGCTCAAAACCTGGTTCTACGAACTCCCCGCTGACCTCCGCATCGACAAACACAACGACCTGCCCCAAGTCTACACCCTCCACATGGTCTACCATACCTGCTGCATCCTCCTCTTCAAGCCCTTCCTCCTCAAATCCAAAGACACGCCCCCGGCCAACAAAACAGACACGGCTAAACGCGCAGAGGTCCTCTGCATCGAGTCGGCCAAACGTATCTGCCACGCCGGCAAAAAGTACCGCCAGGTCTTTGGCTCGTTCCGGCGGAGCCCTATCACCGCGACGCACTGCACGCTCACCGCAGCGCTGGTGCTTATTCAGTACGCGAGCCCTGACCCGGAGTTTGCGAATACGGGAAGGCCGTGTTGTACCGTCTACATTGAAGCGTGTCTGGAGGTCCTGGCGGAGCTGGGCATCTCCTGGCGTCCTGCCGCGAAGATGCGGTCCGATCTGATCAAGTACCTGCACCAGAAATACCCGGAGCGGATGCCAAACTCCATCCTGCAGGAGCAAGATGCCCGCAAGGACCCGGATCCGGATCCAACGGCACCGGCATCGGCGGCGGTGGTAGAAAGCGACACCAATGGTGCAGTATCAAGTTCTATGCAGCCGCAGCCGACGCTAGAGCAGAGCCTGTGTCCCTTGATCAACATGATTGACCAAGACTTCACGTGGGACGAGTCCAGCGCGGCGGACCAGACGCTCCAGGGGGCGTTGCTGAGTCACGGCGGATCGGAGTCGGCTTTCAACACGCAATTCGCTCTGGCGGATTCTATCGGTGAACTTGGCGAGCAGAATGGTCTGAGTTTCATGGATGATAGCTTCTGGGCGGGGATGAATTTCGACATGAATCTCGAAATGCAAAATCCGTGAAAGAAGAAGAAGAAGAAGAAGAAGAAAGCAAAACAAGAACAGAGAAAAGCGCTAGGAGACTGTGGCCTGAAGACGCGAGAGAGGTTCTGATTCTACTTCGCGTAGACGTAAAATCCTTAGTTCAGTAGCTATAAATCCAAACCGGACAGCAAGGCTTCTAGTCCTCTGAAGCTTTTTCCACAATCTACGTATCATATATGCTTAGAAAACCCACCCTTTGCGCAAGTCTCGTATTTCTTATCACCAAGTATTCACCGTCCCATGAGGATAGTGATAAATCAATTGAGTCTTGTAATAGTACGATTAATCATAAGAAGCAGCATCTTCCACTGCCGTACAGGCGCACAAACAGACATATCGATCGTGTCTTGGAAAAAGGAAAGAAGAAAAAAGGGTGGCCGCGTTCTGTATGTTTTATCATTTCTGACTGGGCTACATGAATGTATTCGCAGATCTGAGATTACTCTGGCCTTTTACAATACAATCGAAGAAAGCTCCGGAGCTCTAATTTCTTAGATTACAACTTTTCTATTTCTGTACTTTAGGTAATACAAGTCGCTTTCTAAACTCATCAGCTTTCTCAGCTTTTCTAAATCCATATGCATTTTCACAGAATGCGAATCCGGCACCGAAAGCATCGTCGAAAAGATTCAAAGACAACACATAGAATTCTCGTACTCAGCTACTTTTCTCAATCCTCAGACGGCTATGATACGGCACGTCTTGTCACAATAAAGTTTTAAGATTCAGCAAGCCGTATTCAAGGCTATGGTTTTGTTCGGAGATTCCATTGCCCCGGACCTCCTTTTTCAGAATTGAGTCCTGAGTTCTCGCGAGGTGCAGCATTTTTGACTTACAGCCAGCCTTTTTTTACCCCGCAAAGCTTGATTCACCTGAGGTGAGTTGCCTACCTAGTTCGTAGATGAAACGAGATTATGATTTTAGAACTCCAAACGAATTCCCATTCATGCGCAGTGGGAGGTTGGTCGCGCTCTCTCACGTACGAACACGAAGGCTTTCTGTCTCCTCGGCGTCCTGCTGAACATGCAAATTTTGAGAAGATCATTCCGAGGCCCATCGCAGGGCAAATCGCCAGGCAATTGCGTGCAGTTAAATACTGCATTCACGTTGAAGTCAGCCACTTAGATTATGGGTATAAATGAATTTCCCTACATACAACAACTCCTATGAGCATTACATGACCACATATTAAGCCAACGCATATAAGCGCCCGCGAGTGAACCGCATCAATCCAACGTCCGTCAACAATAAGAAACATAACCCCATGATTAGCAAAGACCCAAGGAACTTTTCCAAACCCCATGGCTACCCTGATAGGTAGATGCAATGCACCCAGCTCTCCTCAAAACCGAGACCTTTCCGTACCCCCCACTAATGACTGCGATAACGCAGTGGCATCACAAGCCGTTGCTAGGTCCCGCACCTCCAATGTGTCCGTGGTCTCCATCGTGGCTGCCGACAGGACGGTTCTTGGGCTGGCCAGCCTCGCGGATGTGCAGGCCCAGAGCGGTGGGATCGATGTTCCTGTGTCCCCAGAGCAGGAGGAACCCGAAGCCGGGCTTCGCAAGAACATCCAGAATACCATAGAAGACAGCCTCAGAGTCGGGGTGGATTAGGTTACCGCCCTCAGAGACGCCCCAGGCAATGGGGTACAGGAACCACAAGAAAATGGTGAGAACACCGCAGTTGCGATACGTGGAGCTGACCTGCCCGCCCAGCGCACCAGCGTGCTTCCGTCCGTCGATCACGAGCGCGTAAACGACGTAGAAGAAGGCAAACATGCCAAACACCCAGTAACCCCACTTATAGCTTGTGCTCGTGAGGGCACCGACCAAGCCCGTGACAACCATGATCTCGTCGGCGAGGAGGGCGATCATAATGCTAGGCCAGGGCATACCGGCAGTGAGAAGTAGGTCCAGTAGCAGCAGCGGGGTGGTGATGAACCAGTCGATGTATCGCACGTAGTAGATCTCGCGTGTGCCGGCGCCGCCAACTTGGCTATTGTTGCGGGGGAATTCAACCTGGATGGGGACCTGGCCCAGCCCGGCGCCCATGGAGAAGTACGCTATGCAAGCGATAAAGGTAATCGTGGCGGTGATGTAGTGGAAGATACGGTGCGTCTCTCGTTTGGTAAAACCCATTCCAAGAAAAACGAGTGTGGAAAACGCCATAATCGCGCAGACGGCAAAGTACCAGTCCGAAGCGCGGGCTGAGATGCCCAGGTCGGCTTGTTGGCCAACGCGGGAGTTGGTGTTGAGAGCATCGTTCGCCATTGTGAGTGTTGTTCGCAGCTCGGTTTTCTGTGTCAATTACAAGCTGGCGGGAGATTTCGAGGAAAGAGCTACTGGTTGAGTATGCCAGGAAATGTTTTGATGCTGCTTCCTATTCTCCTATCCATAGAGTGAGGGGGCTGCTACATGCCATATATCTTCATCTGTTGTCCTCGGCCAACATCAGATTTAGGCCCGAGCTAACGCGATCCCAAAAGCCCCTGCCGGGTGATCCGCATCTAGCCATGTCGGATGACTTCACCCAGACGAAGAGGGGATAGGTGGTATTGAGATTTCCATGAGCTCTGGATGACGTTTAGACTCGAAACACCAACCTACCGCAAGTTGTAGACGATAGGCTAGTCGTCGACGCGAGGACACCATCGCGATGGGGGAGTAGCTTCGCCGTAGCCCAAACAGCGCGACACCCTCGCAGGTGAGACTAGGCTAGCACCGGTTATTGGGCCAAGACGGGCGCTATGGTATTCCAAGCTCGAGCCGTCCCTGTCAACAGTGTCAACCGTCCAGAAACGACTGCAACGCAAAGGGATTCTGCCACTCGTCCTCCAGCCTGGAAGCGGGGTCAGGCGAATGAGATCAAATGAGTTGTAAACTCTCTCCCCGCGCAAATCCTTGACGAGTCCATGACGGCAGGAGGCTGTAACCCTGGTTGTCAGACATGAAGCGGAGAGTTGCTCCGCGCCAGAACGAAAACGACCCCTCTTCAAAGTAATTCACTCAGTGCGACTGGGGAATGATTTGAAAATAGTTTTTTTTTTCTTCGCCTCGAAGTAGTGCGATTGTGACAAACTTCCGAATAGGGCACGTAAGGCGGTTGGCGCAACAAGAAAGGATTGGAGGTCGATGAAGTCACCACTTTTGCCGGTTTCTAGGCCGGAAGCTGCCGAGTGGTATTCCCGGCCCCACTAAGCCGGAGCTAGCGCCGGCAAGTGATTTGATGTCTGCAGCGCAAAGCCCGAAAGACTTGGCAGCAGACGGGATAGTAGGTCTAGCCCGTCCAGCTTTTCTTCAGGCTAACGCTCCAACGGCTGGCAAGACATCATTAGCTTTATTCTAGAGGCAGCCATAAGGAAGAAAACGAATTTGGCTTCTGCTTGGTTTGCCGATCGCCAAGCTGTGTGCGCGATCTGTCTCATGTCCACGATGCCTGCCACCCTTGTGTCAAAACAGGTCTGGTGACCATGTGCTGCACAGTCGTGGTTCGCACTAAGTTGCAGATCTTTTCGAGCCGAACTTACACGCGAAGTCTCTTTGACGAGTTGGCGGCCGCATGTGTTATGGAGGCATTGGGAATCGCATTCCGTTGACTGATTACCATAGCTGTAGCAGGGCGTGAGCAAAGGCAAGCTTGCGGCATGTCTCCACGCGTCCAGCTCAAACCGGATCCGAAATTATTTGCGTAGACGACCTGGACCGCACACTAGAGAGGAGGAAGGTCATAAGCACTTCCGAACTTCCGAGTTCCTCGTCGTCTGATGTCGTCATCAAGCCAGAATCAATTGATGGGCAGTCTGTCGGCAGTTCGAGCACGGATGGGAATGATGGTCCAATGTTCGAGCGCAATCAGGAAACCATCCCGGCCAACGTCGGCCAGGCGATACAACCCACCTTCAACTGTGCCTGGAATTCTGAAGTACGACAGCCGTCCCTGAACTCTAGTCAGCTTCACAAAAGACAATTCAGACCTGCTGTCTGAGTCGTCCGGTCGTTATTGACAACTCGACATTGCCCTTCATCGCCGAAGTTGAGCCTACATGTTCTTGACAGACAATATCGCATGTACCTTGGCTAGGCAACGTCTGCTCTACACGCGAAGATGACAGACGAATGTCAGGGAGACGAGAATGCTCGTCATCCGTGAGTCCATATTGCTTAGCCCTTTTACTCATAGCTGATCTCTGACTGCTTCCTCGTGTAGTTACCTGTCAGGGAACTTTGCGCCGATTCAATCCTGCCTCCCCTTGACTCCCTGCAGCCATGAGGGCACGATCCCTTCTGATCTAGCAGGAGGCCAGTATGTCCGCAATGGAGGCAACCCGGTGTCGAACGATGATGCGAGCCGAGCGGCGCACTGGTTCGATGGGGATGGCATGCTTAGTGGTGTTCTATTCCGCCGGGCAGGTGAAAAGAACACTTTGGTCCAGCCGGAATTTGTCAACCAATACCTGTTGACCGACGTCTACTGCCACGCAAAAGCCAACAAATACCTGCGGCGACCAGTAGTTCCAAGTATTGCGACACTGGTGAATCCTGCCGTGAGCATGTTTCGCATCCTCTTCGAGGTTTTCCGAACCGTGTTCCTGGTAGTCCTCTCGCGACTCCCAGGTTTCGGTCGTCCTATCAAAAAGATCAGCGTCGCCAACACCAGTGTCCTATTTCACAATGGGAGAGCATTGGCAACGTGTGAAAGCGGCCCCCCTCTCAGATTCGCGTTGCCGAGCTTGGAGACTATTGGTTGGTTCAACGGAAGGACAGCAGAAAACGAACCGCGACAAAGCACCGAGAGTGGCTTTGGGGGCAGAGGTGTCGTATCCTTCATGCGAGAATGGACCACTGCTCATCCGCGAGTTGACCCGGTAACGAAAGAGCTCATTACGTTCCACGCGACCTTCGTCCAGCCATTTGTGCGTTACTCCGTCGTGCCAGCGACGCCAAAGTCCGGGCCCGGCCGCTCTCCGGTGTTCGACTTACCGGTTCCTGGAGTCGAGTCACCTAAGATGATGCACGACTTTGGGGTATCAAGACAACACACAGTTATCATGGACCTGCCGCTGTCGCTGGATACCATGAACCTGATTCGCGGAGTCCCAAGCTTGTCGTACGATTCGGCAGGCAGGTCACGCTTCGGAGTCTTCCCACGACACCAGCCGGATGCCGTTCAATGGTTCGAGACCAACCCGTGCACAATTTTTCACACCGCCAACTGCTGGGACTCGATTTCATCGCAGACAGATGTGAACGGTCCTCGTGTGTCGGTTAATCTCGTGGCCTGTCGGCTTACTTCCGCATCCATGGTTTTCAGCGCCGGCAACCTTCCCACGCCAGAGATGAAGCCGGTGCCTCCTGAGTACGCTGAGGAGGAGCAGTGCCGATTGTATTACTACAGTTTCCCACTGTCGGCCATCCCCGGGATCCAATACAACATCAGACACCAGTGGGCTCTATCGGCCATTTCCTTGGAGTTTCCATCCGTCGCACCAGCGTACTCAATGCAGGAAGCTCGATACGTTTACGGATGCTCAACCGGCGAGGCATCTTATACAGTTGCCCTTGGCAAAGCTGCAAAGATCGACCACTTGGCCAAGTTCGACGTTCGAACACTGATAGCAAGAGGCGTCGCACAACCACCACAGCCGGTGAAAGGCTGTGTCGATACACGTAGCATTGCCCAGGTCATGGAGAGCCAGGATCCTCAAGACCCTATCAAGCTCTTCCGAATGCCCGTCGGGTGGTATGCACAAGAGCCAAGATTTGTGCCTCGGCGTGAACCAGACTCCGAGGACGACGGTTGGTTGTTGACATACGTGTTTAATGAAGATCAGCTCGATGAACAGGGTGAATGTGTGCCCGAGGCCGCGAGCGAGTTGTGGATAATTGACGCGAAAGAAATGAAGGAGGTCGTGGCTCGGATCAAGTTGCCGCAGCGTGTACCGTACGGATTGCATGGAACTTGGTTCAGCGAAGAAGAGATTGATGAGCAGAAGCCATTTGAGAAGGTAAGGACGCTGGCTTCATAGTCATTCAGCATGGGAAAAGTTCGTCCGAGGTTGGTTGAAGGGATACTGGGCCTGTCTCGTTAGCAGCTGGCGGAAAATTTCCTCTATGATACCATTTGCTTTCTAGCGAGCAGAGAAGAAGTAATGGCCTCTTTGGGTAAATGTGAACCTTGGCTCAATTGGCCGTACGCTTCTGTGGATGATGAGACAGAAAACTCAGCACTTCCAGATTGGAAGCATCCAGTTCCTCATCCGAGGCTGGCCATTTCGAGAAACAGCCTGAAAGATCACTTCCACTCGTAATGGCTGGCAGTTGTTAAGTCGGCGAGATTCAGGTTGCCCTACCCACCAGCCGATCGCTAGTCACACCAACGCTGTGTGCACACCCACCTGGCACCCACGGCGCAACCGCCCCTAACTGAAACTTGCGTCGCCGGCCCTGAGGTGGCAGCCACTGGATTCTGGCTGGGGCCGTTGGAGGCTGGACCTTGCTCCTCAACGCTTCCTGTGGTGCGCTTTAGGGCCGCATTGCACCTTGCGCCCCATGCCGCAAGTTCGCTGCCCAGCGCCCCGGAACCTGCCCCCCTTCGCTTCTCCTCCCCGGCCCTGGACTGCAAATCCCCCTCATCAAGAGCATGTTGAGGCTCAGGGCCGGAACAGCGTCAATCTCAACGACATCCGTTTCTGTAGCCGCCGACGACTCTTTTTTCGCCGCGATATCTTCCGGCGATACATGTTGGATTTTGAGATGGTCTGGCGATGCCCAGACATTTGGTGAGTGCCGAGAAATGACCCCGCAGGGCAGTGCTGAAGGGCATCGACAGTCAATCAAGGGACGGCGAGTGTTCGGCGTCTAACATTCAACTTTTGGGCTCCGAGACTGTGAGGTAGATCAACTTCCAAGACCATCCCCGGGCATCGTGCGTGAAATGGCGCGCCATGGCTCATGGACATTGCTCCCCCGCGTCTTCCTGGGCGAGATTCCTTTTACCCCTCCTCTTCCCCCAGGTTCCCCGGCATTTGGATGGGCCCATGGTTCATGTTGGTATAGCGTATGCGGTCCCATGTGCCTTTTTCGACCTCTCGAAATGTTTCCATTCCCAGGCAGACGAGACCTTCAGTGAGGGTTAGCCAAGGGTTGGCAGCATGGAGGGCCCCCACACTTGCATCTGGCGGCAGACAGATCTAAGGTCCGTACCGGGAACAGAGCCGTCGGATTGGTGCAAAAGTTTGGGGCAGTTAAGCTTAGCAAATGCCAAACGGGGCTGCTGCAAGGTGTGGTGGATTGGTTGTGACTTGTCCACAGTCATGGTCTAGAGCGAACTGGTCGATACGTGGCAGCAATTGCCGGGGCGTTTGCTACCGGCTCCCCAGGCATAGCGTGTACATTGCTGAAACTTGGCCATTCTGCATTTCTTGGTGATCTGATAGTATCGTTGAGCTGAGTGGCTGCTCATGATATCATGTGGACGTGGGACTGCAAGAGGATTGAGAATTGCTATGCAGGCTTGTTTCGGCGTAGCAGACTGGCCCAGAAGAGATCCACTGCGTCGACAATGTTTGAGCTGCCGCCCTTGGTTGGCGCTTCTTTCGCAGTGTTGTACCGTGTAGACTCAAGGGAAGTATGCATTTGTATCCTGACGCAGGTTTGGATAATTGAACTTGAGCAGGCATTTCTTCTTCGGCTCCAGTGGCCACCATGAAGCTGAGGGGACGCATATTTCTTGGCGTTTGGCATTCAGCGTTTGAATTTCAGTAGGGAAAGTCGGGGCGGGAATGGTCCCAAACATGACACTGCAGAACACGTACGCTTCCCTAAAGTTGGAACTTTGTACTTTGTACGTCTGCGCAAAAGTCGGTGGAAGAGGAAGAAGAGAAGACTGGTTCTAGCGGTGTTTGGAAATGCAAGGTCAGCAAGAAATCCCGCCGGGCGTTGAAGTATCCGTCTTAGGTACTCTGTTTCGATCCAAATGGCAGGTCCCTCAGGTTGGAGCATGGTGTGTGTTGGGATAAGGCTTGCTGTGGTCTGCTCACCTACCACTTTGGGAGGATAGGTGGATGAGGTGCGGAATTGCGCGATTGGCTGTGGGTGTCGACAAGCCTTGGAAAGACCACACAGGAATTGTGACAGTCAATCCAACCAACATTTGGATCTAGTTTCTCCATGAGCGTCTGGACGTTCCCATTGTTTGGTGTGTTTGGCAATGGTCCCGTCTTTGCTGAAGAGCGGAAGCAAGCCAGTCACGACAGTGAGAGAAAACAATCCTAGCAACCAAACAGCCTGGGCGGAAGAAAACGCGGTAAAGCGAGGCGAGTCGAATGTATGCGTAATGTTGGTAGATGGAAAGCAAGGCACGTGGGCTAGACTTCTTGGTATGATGTAAGGTACCTAAGATATCGGTCTGTGGCTGTCTATCAGAGGATACGATGAGCAAAGTTGAAGCTTGGCGGATACATGCTGCGACTGTCTCCGTACTCAGTGCTCCGTACCATTGCGAAGGCGAGATGGCCGTCGCAAGGTTTCGCAAGGTTTGCAAGGGTAGCCCTTCGTCAGTCCATTAATGTCTGGTCTGGTGGGGAAGGAACGAATGTCATCTGATGTCGCTCTGGACAAGGCACATTTTGGGGGCCAAATGAAGCGCGCTGAGGATGTGAAGGGGGAAAAAGTACATGATTCGGGTCGGATAAGGTAGAAGACGAATACCCGCAGATAAGCGCACAAAGATGTTGGATTGAGAAAGAACAGCTGCCAACGAGACATTCAATTGGCAAGATGCAGTCAAGCACTGGCAACTTGCCAGGCATTGATTGCTTCCTTCCTTCTTCTCGAACGGAATCAGGGTAGTGGGGCGGGGGGCACTAGCGCAGCTTGCCAAGAGCCGCGTGCCATTTGACCAATCGAATGACTTGAATGAGCAGGGATGACATTGGCAGTGAGGATGATGGCCGTGGAAGTTGGGACTGGAAAACGAACGGATCATTGCGTGCTTGTATCCAAAGTCAGGTACCTGATCAGAAGCTTCAGGTAGCGTATCCGTATATACAACTGACAGGATTGACAAGCAAAGATTCCGACTGGTAGTCTGGATGACCAAGAGTTCGGTGTTCTTGGCCTCAGAGAGCAAGACGGTTTGGATGAAGCGAATGGTTTGCACAGCCACTCTGGTCGCAGAGGCCGCCCCTATCAGCTATCAGCTGGCCAGAAACGGCCCCGACACCCCAGCCACTTGCCGAAGCCATGATTGGATGGCGGGTTCCCTCCTTCCCTGATGACGACGACCAGCCCGCGCTGGGCGGACATCGGTGCTCCTTGGCGGCGCCGCTGCGTTGCTTCTCCACCCCGGGCCTGCGCGTTCCCATCATCCGCACCGTTTCTCGCCTCGCCTTACCTTACCTTGAGGATACCTTACCACGATACTTACCTCACACAGTCACCATCCAAGGCATTCTCTCAGCTGCGTACCTTATTGAGTGATCCGACCTGACGCTACAGCGGACCCTCCAGTGATTGCCACTATGCTTCAGGGGCTGTGACGACTGATGCGTCACACAATGTTGCTGCGGACTGCGCCGTCAGCCAGGTACCTCAGAGCTGTCATTGTTAGTCGATCCAGTGGGCTGGATTGCACCGTTTCCACAGTTTCGCCGGCACGAGACCGCTGGGGAACACGGAGGCGCTGACGGCGACTGGAGGAAGCTCGTCTTGGCAACTGCTCACTTGTCGTTGTTTGCGCCGCTTCGAGTCTTAGTGCTTTCCCTTTCTTGTTCAATTTGGCCTGTCAGTCCCGTCACTCTGGCAGCTGGTCTCTTCTGTCTTCAAGTTGGTGGCACTCGGCTTGCCTGCGCAGTGCCAGAGTAAAGTACCTATCTTGAGGAAATGGAAATGGACTGGGAAGGAAACAGACAACCTGAACGAACAGTGTGCCTTCCCGTTGCTTGCAGCTGCATCGCAATCATGGAAGGCAGGAGCATCCGTGAAAGTATCAGGTACCTTTCCTTCCCGTCCCCTTTGGATTGCCGCATCTGCATCCACGGGCGTTGTTTTCGGTATACTCAGCCATCCCCCGCATCATCTTCAATTTGCTTCCTCTCGTCACGCCTTTCCCGTTTTCCCGTTTATCGTTTCTTCTGTCAAGCACAACCTTGACGTCTCGTTTCGTCCACAGCTGCAAGCCGCAAAAAAGCCAGGACTCCAGACACACCCCCATCTTGAACACATCTACTCCGTAACCTTGTCACCTATTCACTCCCCTGCGATTTGCCAAGCTTCCCGCCCACTTTGTCACTCAATATCCAGCATATCTTCGATCAAGGTATATGGCAAAGTACCTTACTTTACGTACCTGACCCAAAGTGCCTATCTCTACAAGGCACACCGCGCAGCTTTTGTTGATACCAGGTAACAGAAGATACCTCACATCCAATCCACTCTCTCCAATGCCCTCCATGCAAGTCCTCCTCCCACCACTCTGCTCAACTGTTGCATTCCTTCGTTCCGTCACTAACAATTGTGGCCCTACTTTAGCTCATGACGGACACGGTACGAATACCTTACTGGCTCCATCTCCCCAGACAAAGTCCAAGACAGGAAGCCGCCCAACGGATGCGCTTCGGTCCTCACTTCTTCGGCCCATCCACTCGTCGTCCCGTTCGGTCGGAGCTATTTTCCCACCACCGTTCCGCGCCCGCGTTGCATCCCTCCACTCCTCCCACCCCAGTCCTCGGACAGTCAACGGGGGTCGCTTGGTAAGAGGTACCTCGTCCTCTCTCTCTCTTAGAGTCTCCAGGTCTCTCTCTTTCGTCCGTTGCGGAGATACGTCCAGATCTTCCAGTATCCCATCCATTATCCATCCATCCTCCTTCAGGTTTGGTCGTCTTTCCGGTACATACATCCTCGCTCCCCTCCCTTGGCACGCATTCCACCCGCCACAAAAGTATAACTTAACGCTGCCTCCTAGCACACACCTCTCTTACCCTTCCCTCTTCTTTTTCCCTTCTCTTCTTCATCACCACCCCCAAGCTCTGAGCTTGCCCGTTCTCTATTAACAGTTTTCTTTCCAGATCAATATCTGCAGGGCTTTACCAAAAGCACCAACACACACCATCCAACCCCCCCAAGCGCGCGTTTTAAGCCGTTACCTACCGATATCCGATGGGAGAACCCGAAGCCGTCAGGCATGGTGAACACAACACAGCTGCCGCGGAAGTGAATCCCGAGCAGGACGAGCCGCCGTCTATACCGCGGCCCCCGCCCATTCCCAACCCGGTCCCTCAGCGACCTGCCCATTCGGTTCCTGTCACGGACATAGGTCTCCTCTGGCAAACCGACCTTGAAAATGGTCTCTCAAAGGCCGATGCTGCCGCCCGTCTTGAACGGGACGGGCCTAATCGTATCGAGGGCGCAAAGGGCCTATCCGTTTGGGAGATTGTCATGAGACAAATCTCCAACAGTCTGACCTTGGTTCTTGTCATTGTCATGATTCTGTCCTTTGCTATCCAAGATTACATTGAAGGAGGTGTCATCACCGCCGTTATCCTTCTTAACATCGTCGTGGGGTAAGTTACGTCGCCTGCCTTCACCCTGTTACTTCGCAGTGGCATATGTCTGCTTCCCTCTGGTTCCTCGTGCCTGGCCTACCGATTCTATGATTCTCTTGAGTTGTTACAAAGCACGACTGGCCACTCACCTGGCTGCCGCCCCACGACTGGGTAGGGTGACTGCTGACCGCTCTTGTGGACCGCGCACTCAATGTACCCTGCTCGCGAGATTCTTGGCAAAGTGGCTCATCCTCTATCCCTGCCCCCGAGCCAACTCGGTCTCACACACCTTTCCTACCCAGCACTTCAGTCGCCGAGCATTCATGGCTGACATCTTTCTAGCTTTGTCCAGGACTACAATGCCGAACAGACTATCCAGAGTTTGTACGCGCTGTCCGCCCCGACGTGCAAGGTCGTCCGTGACGGAATCGCGGAGACCATCAAAGCCGAGACTCTGGTCAAGGGTGATCTTGTCATGATCGCCGTCGGCGATGTCGTCCCAGCTGACCTTCGTCTTCTCGAGGGAATTAACCTCTCCATCGACGAGGCCCTACTCACCGGCGAGTCCCTGCCCATCAGCAAGCACCCCGAGGCACTCTTCGAGGAGGCTGATATTCCCCTCGGCGACCGCATCAACATGGTGTACTCGGCTACCACCGTCACTCGAGGACGCGCTCGCGGTATCGTCACCACCACTGGTATGGAAACCGAGGTGGGGAAGATCGCCATGATGCTTCGAACTACTCGTAAGAGAGACGAGAATGCCTCACTCCCCGCCCGCGCTCTCGCGCGTTTCAAGGCTGCCATGAAGAGCATCCTTGGTCTCGAGGGCACTCCTCTTCAGGTCAAGCTTAGCAAGTTTGCTCTTCTGCTGTTCGGTCTGGCTATCCTTCTGGCCATCATTGTCTTCGCGGTCAGCAAGTTCGACATTGATGACCAGGTTCTCATTTACGGTATCTGCGTCGGTGTCGCCGTCATTCCCGAGTCCCTTATCGCCGTCCTCACCATCACTATGGCTGTTGGTACCAAAGCAATGGCGTCTGGAAACGTCATTGTTCGCAAGCTCTCCTCTCTCGAAGCCGTTGGTGGTGTCACCAACATCTGCTCCGACAAGACAGGTACGCTCACGCAAGGACGAATGATTACCAGGAAGATCTGGCTGGCCGAAGATACGACCGCCATTATAGAGGGCACTACCGACCCCTATGACCCGACTAGCGGCAAAGTGCGTTGGCCTGGATCGACCGCATCAAGCTCGGGCTCTAGTGGAGCGTCGACTCCGACGGTTGAGAAGTCTGACGACACTATCATTTCCTCATCCTTCAGTGCCTTCCTCAAGGCTATTGCTCTGTGCAACAACTCCGCTGTTACCGATGGCAAGGCCTCGACCGATACTGAGTCTATGACCACCGCTACCGAGGTGCCGGTTTCGTGGACCGCCATTGGCGAGCCCACCGAGATTGCCCTTCAGGTCTTTGCTATGCGATATGGAAAGGGAAAGACAGACCTCATCTCGTCCGAAAAGACGAAGATGTTGTACGAGTTCCCCTTTGACTCCACCTGCAAGCTCATGAGTGTCGTCTACGAGTTCCCTGGCGCTCCCCGCCAGGTCTTCACCAAGGGTGCCGTCGAAGTCATGGTTGAGAGATTGGCCGAGTCGGACGACGTCAAGCAGAGGATCGCGGCCAAGGCTGACGAGCTAGCCTCAGAGGGTCTCAGAGTCCTCTGCGTTGCTCAACGATTCCTCGAAGATGCTGACAACGCTAGCGAGAGAAACGAAACGGAGTGCAAGCTCCGTTTCCTCGGTCTTGCTGGCCTGTACGACCCCCCTCGTGTCGAGACTCTCGGAGCCGTCAAGAAGTGCAACACGGCTGGTATCTCAGTCCACATGGTTACTGGTGATCACATTAAGACTGCAACTGCCATTGCTCATGAGGTCGGTATCCTGCGTGGCGGCGAGCCGTCTACTGCAGTCATGGCCGCTGGACAATTCGACGCCATGACCGACGCCGAAGTTGACGCTCTTGAAGCCCTCCCTCTTGTGGTCGCTCGATGCAGCCCTATGACCAAGGTCAGAATGCTCGAGGCCATGCATCGTCGCAAGGCCTACTGCATCATGACTGGTGACGGTGTCAACGATTCGCCTGCTCTCAAGAAAGCCGATGTTGGTATTGCCATGGGCAAGAGAGGCAGTGACGTTTCCAAAGAGGCAGCGGACATGGT